CAGTGCATCTTTATCACCAGAGGGGTTGGTTGACGCAAACTGCGGACCAACGAGTGACATACCACACCTGACCCCCTTAAAAATGTGATTTAAAAGAAGGTGCAGTGGTGGCATGGTCTTCAGGGGGCTGCATTACTAACCTGACAACTATTGGTTAATGCTTTCCTTAAAGAGTCAGGGAGCTTTAGTAGCCTAGTGGAAAAGGAGCTGTACTGCCAACCCAAAGACAAGCGATCGAATCTACCAGCTGCTCCATGGAGACAGATGGGCACTTCCCTCCTGTGCAACCTGTAGCCTCTGAAGACTCACCGGACGGCCAGCTAGGAGTAGGTTCTGACTCTGGGCATACAACAGCAGCAAGAAGTCAGACCTCGTAACAACTTTCAGTTAAACTGGCATTCCATTATTAAAGCTGTATATTTGCATCCAACATGCTTGAATTTGTATGTAGCGGACTCCAAGCCCTTTGGAAACTGTCTTCTCAAATATGCAAACTCAAAACCCTGCCGTCCATCATCCAGCTAAAGGGCCTAGGAGCTGCCCTTCTGAGATCTACTGCCCGGGCGCCCTCTGCTGGCACTGACGGTGAGGTGTATTGACATCTCAGTAACAGGGTGAACACAGCCCACAGCTGTAGTAACAGGATGCATAGGTGGGCGGGGTTGGCCAGCGAGGAGGAAAGGAACGGACAGTGAACTGCACTGGGAGGGGGAGAGTGGGCGAGAGGAGGACAAGCTGGAAGGAGTGGACATCATGAGTATGGAAATTAATAGCCTGGAACAGGACAAGCGTTATAAGGGAACTAGGGGGTGGGGACGGAAGATACATGCAGGAATGAATGAATGAATGAATGAAAACCAATCTCTCTGAACCTTCAGTAAATTAAAAAAAAAATAAAGACATTTAGTACTCAAACCCCTAACAAAGCGTACTGCCTTCAAGCGATTCCAAATCCCAGTCACCCCATCAGTGGTCCTGCCTGACAGGGCTTCCAAGCCTGTAAATATCTTCAGACATGGAGATGGACACATCTTTCTCCCTCCAGGCCACGGCTGTATGCTGTGGAGTGGGAACCGAACCACAGCTGACCCTCCAGAGGGTTTTCAGAGGCAGTCAAGCCCACATGCCTTATCCACAATGCTACCAGGCCCCTGGTGACAAACTGACCTTCCTTCCTGAAATGAGCTTTCCTTCTGTCTTGTTTCTTCCTCTCTCTGACATGTTTCTGAGTCTAATCTAAGGTGTAACTGGAAAGCTGGGATTCTGATTCTAGAGAAGATCATTCATGAAAAACAAGCAAGCACTGTGCTTGCTCCGGCAGCACATATACTAAAACAAGCACTAACAGAATGCTTGGTTTCACAGTGGCCATGTGTACACCCATGGAGCATGGAGATGTGTGAAGAGCACTCACCCCAGATGCCACGATTACCAATAAACCACAACACCCCAAGGTAAAGGCTTGAGTAGCTTCTGTAACTGTTGTTACAGAAGTCACCTACAACTCATAGTGACCCTATCTATGTACAACAGCTCTGAATACTGCTCTATCCTGAGCCAACCTCACCATCTCTGATACACCCACCCCCATTATTCCAGTCACTGAGTCAATCCATCTTATCAAGGGTCTTGCCCTCCTGCGCCGTCCCTCCACCCTCCCAAGCATGACGTCCCTCTCCAATGACTGGCCCTTCCTTGCAACATGCCCAGAGTATGTCAGAGGAAGCTTCAGACTCTTTGCCTCCAAGGTGCAGCCTGATTTCATCCTCTCTGGGACAAACCTCTATGTTTTCTTACCAGTCCACAGTATATTCAAGACTCTCTTCCAGCACCACAGTTCAAAGGCATCAATTCTCCTTCTATCATCCCTAGTCATTGTTCAGCTTTCTGATGCACAGCAAATGATTGAAAAGACTATGGCCTGGATCAGGCGCACCTTAGTCTCCAGACTGACATCATTGCTCCAGTACTCTGGAGATATCCCTGACAGCAGACTTTCCCAGTGCAATTTGTCTCTTGATTTCCTGGCTGCTAATACCAAGAGTGTTGACTGTGGAGCCAAGCAAAATGAAGCTGTTAACAATCTCAGTATCTTCTAGTGCCAACTGTCCCAGTGGTGAGAATCTTTGTTTTCTTGATGTTGAACTTCAATCCATATCGAAGGCTGCAGTTCTTGACCCTCTGCAGCACATGCTTCTGGCCCTCCTCAGTTTTGGTAAGCAGGGTCGTATCATCTGCATAATGCAGTTTACTGACAAGTCTTCCTCCAATCCTGATGCCACATTTCTTCACACTGAGCCCAGCGTTCCAGATGATCTGTTCCACATATAGGACACCTCCCTTGCGTACACCCTTCCTAATTTTAAACCAAGCAGTGTTTCCTTGCTCTGTTCTGAAGAATGCCTCTTGGTCCAAGGATAGGTTTCACATAAGCACAATCAAGTGTTCTGGGATTCCCATTCTTCTCAGAGTTTGCCACAGTTTGTTGTGATCCACACAGTCAAATGCCTTTGCGTCATCAATGAAACAGACATTTCTCTGGTACTCTCTGCTTTCAGCCAAGATCCATTAAACATTAGCTATAATATCGCTAGTACCATGACTTCTTCTAAATCCAGCCTGGCAGTTCTCTGTTGATGTGTTGTTCCAGTCGTTTTGGATAATTTTCATCAAAATCTTGCTTGCATGATATATTAATAATATTGTTCAATAATTTCTGCACTCTGTCTGGTCACATTTCTTTGGAATAGGAACAAATACAGATCTCTTCCAGTCAGTTGGGCAGGTGGTTGTCCCCCAGATATCTTGGCACAACTTGATGAGCGCATCCAGGGCAGCATCTATTTGTCAAAGTCAGTCAATTGGTATGCCGTCAATTCCTGGTGCCTTGTTTTTTTGCCCATTCCTTCAGAGCAGCTTAAACTTCTTCCTTCATCACCACAGGCTCTTGCTCAGATGTTACTTGAAATTCTTCTGTGTCAGCCAATTCCTTTTGGTACAGTGACTCTGTATACTCCTATACTCCTTCCATCTTTTAATGCTTCCTGGATCATTCAATATTCTGCCCATAGCAAAGTTAAGCATTTCAACTCAAGGCTTGTTCTTCAATTTCTTCAGCCTAATAAAGCCCCAATTTTAAGTTGATATCTCATTGATTCTCTCAGGACACTGTGGCAGACACTGTTAAGAATAACCTTCCTTTCATCCTTAGTAACAAATCACAGATACAGCAGCACATGTTGCAGTTAAAATCTTCACCTTTCCACACTCCCTTAAACCTACAGGTTTCTGGGAAGGGAATTTCAAGGTGGCAGGGAGCTCTGGTGGCCTAGCCGATAGAGTGTTGCACTGCCAAACTTAAGGTGGCCAGTTTGAATCTACCTGCTCCTCTGGAGGAAGATGGGCAAGCTCCTGTCAAGGTCTGAGGTTCGAATACACCAGTAACTCTATGGGAGAAAGACAGGTGGTCTGCTCCTGTTAAGATGCAGCCTCGGAAGCACTGGGGCAGCTCTACTTGTCCCCGAGGGCTGCTGTGATTTGGAAGAGACAAGGGGACCCCACTGGACTTCCCTTTGCCCTCTCACTCTGTCCTCCTCCTGTCACACCCGGAGATGCAGGGGGACAGGAGCCAAATGCTCCTCCAAAGGAGGATGGAGCAGAAAAGAGGGGAGTCTGGGTCCTTGAAGGTCCACTCTGGGAATGCCTACCTCCAGAAAGAGCCCCCACGTCCCTAAGGTGCTTCTGGAAGTTCACAGCCCCCGAGCCCCTGTGCAGTGCAGTCCTGCCACACCACAGGGGTGAGGGCAGCGCTGTCACCAGCAGCTGGAATCAAGTCAATGGCAACTGGGAGGGAGGACAGTGTCGTCTGGGGTTCCTTACAGCGTACGGCCAATACAGCCCCAACACCGAGGATAAAATGACTGCCTCGTGAAGTGCAGAGGTGCAAGAGACAGCAGCACAGTAACTGAGTCCACAGGACACCCCCAGAAGCAGCTGAGCAACTTGGCCCCGTCACGGGGCGCACGGTCCCCAAGCTTTTAGGAGATGACACACAATGTGGCAAGAAGCTGCGTTCCAATCCCAAAGACACACGGTTCAAATCCCGCCAGCTGTTCTGTGGGAGAAGGATGGACAATCTCTTCCCGTGTGATTAACCACCTGTGAAAACCTGCCGAAGGGTCAGCTATGGGTCCAATACACAACACCACCACCATACAACGTGCACCCTCCGTGTGAATGCCTTTAAGCTGTGGTGTTGGAGAAGAGTCCTGAACACCCCGTGAGTGTTAAAAGATCACACAAGTGTGTCCTGGAGAAAGTGCAACCCGGGTGCTCTTTACAGGCCAGGACGCTGAGACTTCACCGCATAGGCTTTTGGCCTGTTGTCAGGAGGGTCAGCCTTTGGAAGAAAACAGAAGGCTAGTAAGGTGGAAAGTCAGAGAGAGAGAGGGAGGGAGACCTTTCCCAGGACAGAGTCACCTGGGGAATGACACTGCCTTACAGAAGTACTATGATGGAATGCCTGCGTGGCAATACATTTTCTTCTTGTTTAGTGCTAGAGGAGGGATTTGGGGCAGACGGGGAAAAGTTCCTCTGGGCACTGATTCATGTTCCGGGATTAGACGATGGTGATGGTTACAAAACTCTGAGCTTGTACTTAAAAACCCGACTAAACCATATACTTTAAGCACGTAAATATTATGGCATGTGGATAATATCCCAGAAAACTTCGAAGTGCCTGTCCACGGTAAGCAACAGAGCTAATTTTTCTGACACAGAATGTTAGAAGTGTCTTTAATCACTTATTATTAAGTACCAGCTCAATAGTTAAAAAAAACACACAAAAAACATTTAAATCCCCTTCCATAATCTCCCCGTATTCTTGCTAAGGGGTTTTTACGGTGAAGACATGCTCGTTTTTCCCCCTATATAAAACTTCATGAGATAAAGGCAAAGAACTGCAGACATCCTGCTGCAGAAGACCGTAGCTGTGGTCGTCTTCACTGGCCAGGTCCTGAAAGACTCTTGTTCATGAACTGTCTCTTCACAAAGCAAGTCCACCACTAGCAAAGGGGGAGACAGGGAAGAACAGACGGAGTGTCAAGCTGCAATGCAATTTCCAGGCACATTCAGAATTCAAATCTACTTACCAGCCAGGGTTCCTGTTTGTCCTGACATTACATCTGCCTGCTTTTCTCTTCTACACTCACAAAACACTCAAGGGCAAAAGAAACATAATGCTTTGAAGATATATCACACCTCAAAGCCCTCTCTACAGGTTTATAATGCTCTGACTTAGAAACGTAGGACTAGAGACCTTTTTATTGTATGCAATTTCTTATTCAGGGGGAGTCTGTGAACTCCTACCAAGTCCTAGGTCCACTCTTAGTGTCAAACACAGCAATGTGGAACTCTGGGTATTCTTGCAGGGGGAGATCTCACTGTGTTTCATCATCAGAATAGGACAAAAACTGACTTGTCAATTCAACAGGGAAAGAAGAGGCTCTTACCTTGCTTGGCTTGTCGTTCTGAGGGTCAAACACTTTGTCACAAAGCCTCAGCCCCGTCTCTTGCCTTAGCTGCTGTAAGTAGGCCCGCATGATTTCTAAAATGACCAGTAGGTGGAATGAGTGTCAAGACTGGATGTGAGAAAATGCTCCCACGTGCTGGCGGCTGGCCTGGACAACATCTGACACATCTCTATATAATCACATTGGGTCAGAATCAGAAATGAAGTCAAGATGGCTTCAAGATTGATTTTGGCCCAAAAATGCCTTTCTCGAACATGTTGCCAAGAACCTCTCGTGAGAGTGACTTAGAGGATAACCCATGCTCTGTACCACTAGAGAAAAGGAAGACAGGGAGCTGTGCGCCAGACACAGACATCGAGCTCAACATGGTCACAGCAGCAAGCCTGCATTACCAGAGATAACAAGCATTAATCTACAAGTGGACAGAGGCTAAGAAGCAGGATGGGCAGAAAAGGACACAGGAAGGGGCCTACACTCATGGCCATGCACAGCATGGTGGGACGACCTTTCCGCTCACATAACCATATTGTAATCTGTCCATATATATATGGGAGAGTGATGCAACCAAACACCTCGTGGAAGTAAGTTGCTTGTCTTAAGGCCTCTGGACCACACTCTCAGGGAAAAGCAAAAATAGACAAGCTATGTGCTTATGATTGCACTCTTGGCTGGGCAGCCAGTGAGGTGAGGAGGGGAGAGGGAAGGGGGGGAGTGCGTGGCGCACAGTGGGACAGCCAGCAGGGTGAGGAGGGGAAGGAACAGGGGATGATGAGGCCCTGGCATACAGTGAAACAGCCCTCTGCGTCCTGTGTAGGTGTCCTGAGCTTACCGTCTTCCTGCTTGTTGGCAGGCTTGGCATAAATGGCATTCAGCGGGAAGCCGGGCTCCCCAGGAATGGGGAAGTTGGTGATCCCCAGGGTATACATTTCTTTCTCGCCTTGGCTTTTGGAATTGCACTAAAAAAAAATAAAAATGCAAAAACACAACAGACATGAATTTTACAGAAAAAGGAAACTATTCAAATCTCAATGTTGTTCAGTCCAAATGGTTCCAGTGGAAGGTGTGAATGTCCTTTGTGTCCTCTGACAATCTGGGGACAATCTGGGCCCCTTCTTAGATTCACACTCTCAAAGGAGTTAAATCAAACACAACATTAACGACACTGGCACAGCCAATGCTGGTCAAACGCCGTAATTCAAATAGTAAGGGTCAAATAAATGATGGAGCCATCGATGTGCTTTAGCACACTACATGACGAGATCTAGCAGGAGGTCGAATTACTGCCATTTCAAAGAAGCACCAAGTGTCAGCAAGATTTCCAAATACCTTCTGCTCTCATGTGACAGAGTGGATAGAAGTGACCAGTGATGCTAGTGCTGCCATGCCCCTGAGTACATTCGGGGCAGCAGCAGCTACCACCTCTCAGGTCAAAGTTGCTTCAGGAAAGGAGATATTTCCCCACTTAAGCCCCTGAAGTCCAGGTCAGGAACTCTCAACCCAAGGACTTGATTTCTTTGTACAAGTTCTATCTTAGGATGATACACTCGAAGGCTACAGATACCACTCCGCTGTGTCCTTTCTACATGGCCTCTGAGTCTCAGCAGAGCCCCGACGGCTGGCAGGGTGCACCCTCAGTAACAGAGTGGCAGCGTATGGTCACCCAGCTCACTGACCTTCTGGAGTCTCTTCAGGCATTCCGAAATGTAGAGAGTGATGTAGATCAGGGTCCTATCTGCTTCACTCTACAGGAGGAGAGAAAAATATTCTTAAAATATCACAGAAGATCAAAGGGCTGGGTTCGCCCAGGGATGAGGCTGCGGAGGTAGGAAGGGCGAGGACAGGAGGACTAATGGAGACAAGCCCCACAGGGAGGAAGTGGGAAGGGGTGCTTACGCTGCGGGGATCACAACTATGGACATAAAATGAACAGGAACGGTTGAGTGGAAAACCAACCTTTGTAAACTTGCATTTAAATCACAATAAAAAGGAAAAAATTCAACAATGCAGTCCTGACCAAAACATAAAAATCATGTGCAATAAGGAAACTCTAGTCTTTTCTCTGGATCATTCATTTAAAAGTGTGATAGTATTGCTTTCAGTAGTTAACCCAATGGTTGGGGGGTCAAGTCTACCTGGGGCACCTTGGGGAAAAGGACTTGATGCCAGAGAGCCAGGTCCACTCCAACACCTGAGGAGCAGTGTGGTCAGAATCACCTCAATGACAATTCAACAAACACGCCTCTTTAAACCCAGTCTCTTGCAGGCCCCTGTTTGACCCCTCCTGGGAAGGCAGTCCCCAGTTCCCGCCGTGATCAGTGGGGCTGCCGTGGACTCGCTCCCCACTCCCCATGGCTCCTGAGGAGCTGCTCAGGAGGCCAACTCTGCAGGAAGGAGAGAATCCAGCTGCCTGGGATAACTGAGGCCCACCATCTGCTTGGCTCACTTCAGGAATCCCTCTGGCAACAGAAACACTCATTACTTTAAAGAAGGAAGCAATTATTTCCCAAATGACTTGCTCTAGAGGAGTTCCATCAGCCCAGCATCCTGGCCAACCCAGGTGGGAACTGTGGAGAAAATGGACAGACGTAGAACAAACGATGCAGGTCACCTTTTACAGAGACCACAGTTACAAAGCGAAACCCAACTCCATCTCCCAACTTTTAAGACCACATTATAAGCAGGAGAGAAAGTAATAGGGCAGAATTCTACTTCTCTCCAGGTATTAGAAACCAAACACAATGCACAGACTCTGTTAGGAATACAAGTCTGTCAAGACAAGAGTATACAATGTTTAAATGACAATTTGTAGACTAAGAGTCTACATGTAAAAAATTCACAGGGTAATTGATTCCAAGAGTCAAAGTTTGCCAAGAACAGGCTGAAGCTCCATATTCTAGAGTACTGTCAAGAAAATTCACTGATCTGCAGCAAAGAAGTCTAGAGAAAATCAAAGGCTACTGGTGCCAAAGAAGTCCAAGTGGTGCAGTGTTGTGCTGCGAACCAGAAGGTCAGGAGTTCCAATCAGCCTGGTGCACTCTGATACACAGATGGCAGTCCCCTCCCATCAGGACTCAGTACCTCGGACCCCAAAGAGATCCTGGCTATAACTTGGGATCCATTCAACAGTTATGGGTTTAGAAGGAGCTCTGGTGGCCCAGTGGTAAAAAGCTGTCCTGCAACCTAAAAGGCACATGGTTCAAATCCACCAGCTGTTACGTGGAAAAAGGATGGGCAGTCTATTCCTGTGAGATTAAATGCCTCTGAAAATCCACTGGAGGGTCAGCTATGGGTCAGTTCCAACTCGATGGAACACAACAACAAGGAAGACTTACGGGCCAATCAAATACCAGTCTCCAGCACCATGAGGCCCAGCTCCCAATGCTGACCATTCAAAATGGAATCACTGTGGGAGGTCCTGGACAGAGTGGGATAAAAAGTGGAGGAACACTAAAATCATGACAAGGATAGGCTCTCCGGCTGGACAGAGGCTAGAGGGACCCCTAAGACTGTAGACATTAGACACCCTTCCTGCCTCGAACTGCAATCACCCTGGTGACTCAACTTTCAACCACACAATCCACAGGCTTCTAATGTGAGCAGTGGCACCAGGGAGGAACACAGTTCTCAGAACAATCAACCAAACACAATGAAAATGACAGTGTGTGCCCAGGCAGAAAAGCTTGTAAGGACAAGGGGAAACAGGAAACATGGGGAAGGAGAGGGAAGAGTGCTGCTAGCATGTGGGGCTTGTAACCAATGTCACAAAACAACGTATATGGACTGTTAAATGAAAATCCAACATGCTTTTTAAACCTTCACTCAAATTACAATAAAAAGTTAAAAATTAATTAATTGTTATTTTTTTCCCATTTTCCCTTGTTTTTCTGTCCTTTCCCTTCATCCTTCCTTTGGCCCCATTCCCCATGGAGCTATGAAACCAGCCTGGGTGGGTACAGGGTGCTTCTGGGCAGTCCCACACTAGTTTACGTCTTTGCCTAAGGCCCAGGACACAGAGGCTATCAAAAGTAACACGGCATTAAAAACAGCAATAATGATATAGCTCATAGGATTCTCTGGTTTTGGACTAACCCTAAATAAAACATACAGCCTGGCATACAATAGAGACTTACTTAAGGCTGAATATGTAATGCTAAGTACCTAGGCTAGAAAGTATAAAAAATTTCTCTGTTCAGGGCCAGAGAGTAAATATGGCAGACATTGTGGGCCTCAATTATTCACGTCTGCTTCTGTGGCTTGCTGGGGCCCATAAAGGATAACCAAGCAAATCACCAGGCTGTGTTCCAATAAAACACTATTTATAAAAAGAGGTGGCAGGCCAGGGTGGCAAATGTAAGGCTGTAATTTGCTGAACTCTGGAATAAACTTTGGAGGGTAAAAGAGAAAATAATATTCACAGAATCCAACAGTAGCCACTGCTTTAAATACTAAAAATTACCCAATCCTGGTTTGTTTGTTTTTTTTAATTTTTTTTTTGTTATGTGTGTACCATCAAATCGGATCTGACTGGTACAGGAGGAGATTGTCCCTCCTTCAGCAGAGCATCTGGTGGATTTGAACCATGCATCTCTGGGCTTGCAGTGCAGCTTCTTGCCACTAGGCCACCAGAGCTCGCCACCCAATCCTGTTTTATCCCATTTATTCCTGACATGAACCTTGACTACAAGGTTATTTATTTCCAGCAGGAACAAAATTAATTATTAAGAACATTTCAATGAAGAGTAATTTACCTTAATTTCATAGTTCTTGAAGAAGACATTGGCCTTGAAGTAATAAATGGCTTCATCCACAATATCTGTGTCTTTAGCTAAGACAGGCACAAAACAGGAGGGGAGAGAACATTAGTCAAGTATTATCTATAATATCTTAAAAAAAATATCCCAAGAGTTTACTCAGAAAAAATATAGAATTACCAAATGACCTTAGCGTTTAATTTCCAGGTATGCAAAGAACCTAAAAAGAGGTTCCCACAGTGCACGTGCACTCATTCATGACCATTCACAGGAGTCACAGGAGACAAGAGCCCGTCCCTCAGCAGAGGAAGGGCCAGTGAACTGCTTGCACACACACAGTGGCACAGACTTCACACACGGAAAGCACTGACTGATACAAGCCACTGTAAGGGTGAGCCCTGGGAACATTTGGCAAAATGATAGAGGTCGGACATAAAAAAGTTCACCTATAGATATGAAACACCCGGCACATTTATATGAGATTTCAAAAGAAGCAAATCCACAGCAGACTGGTGAGAACCAGGGGCTGGAGGAGGAGGGGAGAAGAGACACTGTTTCATGTGTTCAGGTTCCTTTAGGGGTGACAAAAATGTCTGCAAGGTAGACAGAGGTGTAGTTCTGCAATGCTGCTACCGGACTGAGAGTGAGACTCAAGCCTGTGTCCTCTGAGTCCAGCTCCTAATGACCCTGTGATGAGCAGACCGGCCTGTGGGGCTTCCAGGCTGTGAGTCTTCCTGGGAGCACACGGTCTCTTCTCTCTCCCTCAGAACGGTTGGTGGGTTCAAACAACCAACCTTGCAGATGAGTGCTTCAAAATCAGGGCTCCTTAAAAACACGTATCATGTGTCCTGACGTTCACTTTTTTTTTCCCTTAAAAAAAAAGCCTATAAGGGGAGGTGGGATCCAGGCTCAGTGGCCAAAAGTTTTGAGGTCAGAAGCGACTCGATGGCACATAACAACAACATTGGAGCCGTGCGTCCTTAGATACCACGTATCTGGAACACACAAGCATGTGGTTGGATTTATTCCCCCTGTCCTCAAAAAACTCACTGCACTGACTCGGAACCGACTCGGAACTCGCCCTCCGTTAGATTTCTGAGGCTGTAAGTCATGAGGAGACTGTTCATCCCACTGAGCCGCTGCTGTGTTCAAACCCCAGGACTCACGGCCACCAGCTCTGAACCACGGCAACCAGGACCAGCTTTCAGCTCCACCACAGGATGACTCCGGTCATCTGCACCCTGTTGAAGAGGCCCTGGTGGCCTGGTACCGGGAACCGTCCTGCTAACCCAAAGGCCACACCACTCTGGTCGTTCAGATCCACCAGCGGCTCTTGGGAAGCATGGTAGGCAATTCCCTCCCCTGTGATTTGTAACCCTGGAAACCTGTGAGCAGGTCAGCTCTGAGCTGATTCTGACTTGACAGCACTGAGCTGGAGTTTTTCTTGGTCTTGGCATTCTGTTGGAACTGCCTTTCTCCGAAATACGGTGGCTTATTTTTTTTAGCTTGTTTTTATAGAAAGTATACTGCTAGAGCCTTTGTGGCATAGTGGTTAAATCCTAGCCTGCTAATCAAAAGATCAAGGGTTCAAAGCCACCAGCCATTTCAAAGAAGAAAGTGTGGCTGTCTGCTTCCTAAAGATTTACAGCTTTACAAACCCTATGGGGTTATACTCTGTCCTAGAGGTCGCTAGGAGTTGGCATCAACAGCAGAGGGTTGGTTTTTTGGGGCTATATAAGCACTGTTGCTGTGTAATGTCAAGTCAGAAGGGACCCATAGCTGACCCTCCCCTGAGTTTTCAGAGGCAGTAAACCACACAGGAAGAGCTTGACCATCCTCCTATGGAGCAGATGGTAGATTCCAATTCCTTGAAAAAAAAAATCCAAGCAATTAGAAGATAAAACAAAAACCCACTACCCAAAAAGAACTACTATTAAGTACATTTGGTGAACTCATCCCTGCCGTTTCCTGATGCATTTGTAAAGACTAAGAAAATGTAACAATATAATTTAATTTGAATTTATGTGTGATTAGTTTCTGGGGAAGAAAACCAAAACTTCCCACTGTCAACTGGGAATATGCTGGAGTTCAGATTTACAACTTTCAAGAAAATCACAGCAAAATATTTTTGTGCAAGCTGTCCTAGGTGGCTGCAGACTGAGAAAAACCAGGACTACGGCTTGACAAAGACAAATTTCGTTATGCGATTTCTTTGGCAACCTTTTGTTTTCTTTCTTATTTTAAAAAGGTCAGAGTCCCAGGGTCTTGGTATCCGGCAGCTGGTTTCAGCCATGCTGGGACAGTTATTTATACTTTGTGTCCCTGACTGCCACCCCCTCGGCCCACAGAAACTCGGAGCAGCTCGGGGGGGATGGCGGGGGGGGGCATCAGTCCTCTGTCATCTGGTCGTCCAGACCCCAGCTCCCTCCCCTGAAGAATGCCAAGGAGATTCTAACTTTAGACTTGTGCTCTCTGCCGTCTGTTCTCTCTTATCTGCAAAAAGAAAACTTCCTCAGATGATTCAACAATGTCTACAAGAGCCAGCCAGTTCTTCAACATTAATTCAATGGTTTAGATGGAGCAGGGAGAGAATTCAGAAGAGGGTTTGGCAAAAGGAGTGCTCGAAAGATACTTGTTTGCTGTAAATGGATCCATTTAACCCAAAGCTGGCTGTCTGAACCCACCGAGCAGCTCCATGGTAAAACCCCCCAGTCAGCTGTTCCTGTCGAGATGACAACTTAGACCCAACGAAGCAATTCTACTGAGCTCTCTGAGCCGAAATCTAACGGGAGCAGTGACGGGCTGGAGATGTGACATGCCATCAGACCTCCTTACCTAATGTCACAGGAGGAGGAGACAGAACGAAGCTCAACACGGGCCCAAAGCGGACCCCACGAGGAAGGATCTCCACCTGTTATCATGGACCAGCAAGTCAGAACCAACCCATTCCAGAATCCCTTCACAGGCCACACCCACAGGTACAGGGTTCATCAGGAAGTGACAGGTTACAATTCTGGATCAGGAATGACTCAGGACACAGTTCTTTGGTCTGGACAGTTGCTAAAACATGTCTGCAGACAGACCTCTGCTCTGCTTTGGCAGGTGTGAAAAACCTCTTCAGCTCTGCAGTACGTGGCCAGAGGCATCTCACTGTGCCAGTTAGCCTCGGCCCAAGGACGCCCAGCTCTTGATTCATGGGTCGGCATGTCCACTGAAACCAGCTCATTCTGCTTCTCTGCCACCAACTCTTGTCACCTCTGCATGACAGTTCTGTCTCCTGGTCTCGGAGGTCCTCGGAGCAGGGAGTCCAAAGGACGAGCCTCTTGCTAAGGCAGTCACCAAGGAACCCCTTGACCGCTGGGGCTAGCTTATTTTAAGCCTGAGGGGATGGCGACCATGACCAGTCCCCTCCTAGGGTTCTGTGAACCTTTAATCACAAGCAGACTGCCCAATCTCTTCAGTGGGCTACAGTCACCTCATTTGCTGTCTCACCCAATAGGGAGAAGGACCGTATTATAGTAACTCCCCACACCTCAATGCAGGAGAAGGATGGGCAATCTCCTCCTGCACGATTAACTGCCTTTGAGATCCCGCTGGAGGGTCTGTGCTCACAGCACAAGCTTTCTCCCCTCCAACCCTTTTCTAATCCAGCCCCAAAGGAACAGAATCCAGATACTGTTCATTACATATCGAAGCACTGCACAGGGGACAAGCAGGGACTGCTCCGCCCTTGACTAAGAACTCCTGACCTATTACACGGGGTCTACACGCTTTTCCCCAAGCAATCTGCGTCAACATGGGTTCTAAGTCCTTATCTGTACTGCCCTTCTACTTTAGTTTTTTTCTCTTTGGGGTCTTTTTCCATTTCCTTCATCCTAGCGATTCATGAAGTGGATTACATTTACTGAGCAAGACTCTGGTGTTGAGGAAAAAAGAAGTCTAAGTCACATCAAACAGTTTGGCACCAGAACACAGTTGGGTCAGTACAAAGAACCAATTACACTAATTACAGAGTTCTCTGTAGGCATCAAAAGTATCTCACCAAGTAGAGGGAAAAGGACAGGGCTTTCTGAAAAACCCATTACTTACACACACACACAAACACAAGAGTGGGTACCAAGAAGGAAAGCAAAGACATGTTAAAGGAAGTGCTACAGATAACACACAAAGGAAGTAAATTCAAAAGAGGAAGAGGCTCAAACATCTTCTTCTACCAGCGTGATGATGGAGAAGGGATGGGATGCGTTGTTGTACAAAGCTTCAGACAGGACTGAGAGCAAACGCAGGAACAGTGGCCAGGATCAAGCACACTTCCCTCCCCTCACCACGGAAATACTCCTATTGGGTGCCACACACACATGATGACGGTGACGGGCCTCAAACACAGCACCCACCAAGCACCAGGACACTCGGGACCAAGATGACAAAGGCTGAGCGGGGAACTGCCCCAGCTGGTGATGTCAGAGGCGCCTGACATTCCACAGCAAAAGTGGAAAGGCGGTGGAAAAGGACTCGGACTTACTCTCTCTCGGGGCAGGTCCTTTGAACTGACTTCTGATAGGAAGCAGCGCCATGTTCCCGATGAGCTTGGTGTCGGGGTCCATGAGGGAGGAGTGGTAGGCCTGCAATGGGGAGGCAGGTGAGAATGAGGAAGCAGAGTGCAGACAAGGAAGACAAAGGGGTCAGCTCTGCGGCCTCTGACTCACAGAACCCCTCAGGCCAGAACTCAGGGCTCGGGGCTGTCAACCTCCATGAACACAGACTGCCTTATCCTCCTCCTGAGGACAGGCTGCGAGTTTCAAACTGTGTTCTCAGTAGAAACCCCCACGGATGGAGGGGCCGTGGGTCAGGGCTGACTTAGTCAGGTGAGCCTGGTATTTTGGTGTACGTTCCCAGTTGAGTTATGCCGTCTGTGTCTGTGGCGCGTGTACAGCTGGTGAAAACATGTACACCACAGAATCTGGCAGCACCATACCGATCAAGGGTCCTTCCACTGCTGTTGTTTCAGCCTGACCACTTCCTGGCTCACATCTTTGATGAGGAAGTCACATTTCTTCCTACTCTATTTTCAAATATGTGTAGTGTACCACCGTCGTCGTCAGTCAAGAGTTACATTACGAGGGGGAGAAAGTCAGCGACCGCCTCCAGACAAACGCTGACGTTCTGAGAACAATCTGCATGCTGACTCCCAGCTGTGCTTCTCACCAGCAGAGCCACGTGGTTCTTGCCCAGGCAGGGCACCAACGGTCAATCCTGACTCCCGTGGCTGCAGGGCAGAGTGTGCCCAAGGCCAAGAAGCCTTTCTGGAAGCGGCCTCTCGTCTCTCCCACGGAGCAGCTGCTCCCTTTGAATCTGGTTTAGCAGCCAAATGCTGCAGCACAGGGCCAGCCATCCAAGGCCGTGGCTGTCACACTGATTCTGAGATCTCCTCATGGTGCCACCAGGCTGGGAGCCTTAAAGAAGCACACGGCTTCGCGGTCGTCCCACAGGGCAGCTGCCAGCCGAGAATCACCACCCTTGAGGATAGCCAACGCGTAACCCACTCAGCCACAGTGGTACGGGGCATGCTGTCCAGTGCGAAATCAGTGGGGGAGCCCGGTGTACCGGGGAGCTCACCAAAGGAGGTCTCCCCCAGCACACATCAGGCATCGATGAATGGGACTCACGGAGTCCTGGGTGGTGCAAATGCTTAACACCTGGCTGCTAACTGCCAGGCTGAACGTTCGTGTGTACCCAGAGGTGACTGGGAAGAAAGGCCTGGCAATCGCCGTGGGGAAACGCAGCCACAGACAGCCCACGGGACATGTGGGGTGAGCCAGAGCAGATGTGGCAGGTTTCTGAAAACTACGATTATCTGAAACCTTGCACTATACACACAGACACTCTCCTACGACTGGCGCACGTGGGCCACTGTCACTGCCTCGCTAAGGCAGCCGCCGTCTCCCGATGGGTCTTCTGGTCACTGTGGAACATCTTCCTCCCTCCTCGCTGGAGCAGGGATCTGCTGGCCTGCCTCCCCTAGCTGGGCGCCCCGTGGGAGGAGCTGAGCTGCTGGACCAGAGGCACCGGCTGCCCCGCGCGGGAGGACGAGGGCAGGCCTGGGAACAGCGGCCAGGAGGGTCAGCGAGGGGTCAGTCCCGACCGGGCGGCAACGGGTGGAGGTGCTGACCATCTAAGGCGCCCGGCGCGCAGCAAACACCTCTTTGGTGTAAGACGAGGGTCAGGACAGCCATGACCCCCACGGACCGGCTTCCAAATGACGGGCAGCCGGGACACCGTGCACCTTCCCTCTCCTGATGCTCGAGAAAGCAAACACTTGCGGCTGTCGGCCAGGGCCCGGGGGCTCGGGGGTCCCGGGGGCTCGGGGGTCCCGGAGGCTCGGGGGTCCGGCGGGCTCGGGGGTCCGGCGGGCTCGGGGGATCCCGGGGGTCCGGCGGCCTCGGGGGTTCGCGGGCTCGGGGGTCCCGGAGGCTCGGGGGTCCCGGGGGCTCGGGGTCCCGGGGGCCCGGGGGCTCGGGGAGTCCGGGGGCGGCCGGAGCGGTGGGACAGACGGAAGCCGAGAGGGACGCGCCCGTGGGCGGAGGAGGAAGTGGGCTTGACAGGAGAAAGAGGAAGCCGGTCCTAGGCTCCGGCTCCAGGGAGTCCAGGGGACCCGAGGGGCTCGGGGTGCCGAAGGGTGGACACTGGAGACGAGGGCGGGAAGGACGCCGCGACCTCCCCGCACGCGCCAAGGTCATGGCCGACACGCCGCCCGCACGGCCCGGGGCCCCGGCGTGCCCCGGCCTCGGGACAGACACCCCGGCCCTCCTAGATGCTCGGCCGGCCGGCGCCCCCAGCCTCCCCTGCCCGCTCTCAGGGCGCATTTGACTTCTGCCCGCTCTCCAATCCCCGTGTCTCCCACACCCTCGGCAGGGTCGCTCACCGGCATCTTCGCGGAACCAGCGTTCGGACCACCGAGCAGCCACCACAGCAAGATGCTTCCCGTCTGGCTGTCCGGGCGCGGCAGGCGGAAGTGAACCGGAAGGGGAAGACGAGGCGCTTCCGGTATAAGCCCCTCCTATCGAGGCTGCAGAGCTGAAGGGGCGCCAGGGGGCGCGCGAGCGCTGTGCAGGGGTCCTGAGTGATGCGCATGCGCGCGAGCGCTGGGCAGGGGACCCTGAGTGACGCGCATGTGCGCGAGCGCTGTGCTGGGGCTCTGAGTACGCGCATGCGCGCGAGCACTGCGCAGGGGTCCTGAGTGACGCGCATGCGTTAAGCGCGCGCGTGGCCATGTGGTCCAGGAAGCCGCTCCGCTGTCAATGTTTTGCACTGTTTTTGCACGATTGTCACATTTTCAGCAAAGCCTTTCCTGGCCAATCTATTTTAAATTCAATACCACACCACTCTTGCTTTACCTGTACTTCTCCCTCCCTTTTGTTGTTGTT